TAAGACAAGGGATCCTCAAGGATCTTCCACCCCAAGCTCACTTACATGTGCAATATAAGTTCAAAAGCATTTATATCATTATCAGTTCCAAAACTATGTAGTGCAACAGATATCTACGGCATGTGTGTAATCACTATCTACTGGCCAGAGAAATGTAGGAATACGTCTATTCCCTACATGTAGTACAATGAACACCGCTTGCACCTCACCCACAGCCACACCCTCTTGTATGTTCTACATACTCAGGCTTACCGTATAGGTGGAACACCTCCATGCATATCAACAAGGAACTAACATACAATAGCTCAACATCATTTCCAAAACATCAAAAGCATGTAACACAGCATGCATATACCATATCCCCATGGGAAATGGTGGAACCACAACATGGCTAAACCGAGGACACGAAAGCTTAACTCTAAGCTAGCTACCCAATGCCACAAGCTCAAAGTCCAATCACAGCAGATCACAATCTGATATGGACCAAATATAAATCAATAACATGTACCACATGCATACAAATTAAAGACAACGCCTTTTCATTACGTTTTCAAGTCTTAAAGCTTCTAACAAAGCCACAAGCCCTTAGTCCAATGATTCTGGCTTAATCCATTAAAAACAGAAGTTCAACTTCATCAATCTAAGGTGTACAAAAGCCCAATAGCCTACTGTATGCACAACACAGCTACTGTTCTGCGAAAACCCAGAATATCCGGATATTCCTCGGGACCATATCCGGATATGCAATATCCGGATATCTCACTGTCCATATCCGGATATGCAATCATATCCGGATATACAGATTCACATATCCGGATATCTGTTCGACAAATATCCGGATATTTCACGACAGAATGCAGTTTCTGCATTTTTGTGAAGATATCCCTTAAAGGTCCCCTTTTTACCGATTTTAAACACCTAATCATGCATTTCTAGGCATGTTCAACATTAACCAACAACAAGTTATCATCTTTTAGTCATTAGATGCATCAAGGTACCATTTTTAAGCCTTAAAACTCAAGTTAAGGTTGGTGATCATACCACAGCTCAAAAACAGCAAAGGGAGATGCTCTTGGAGCTCAACACAGCTCCTCACAATTCTGACTAAGAAGGTGCACGAAAATGCACAACAAGATGGCTCCTTTCTCCACAAAGATAGACACTTGGAGTTCACAAATGGCAAGGCCAAGGCTTCCACTACTCAACCTCCAAACTTAGCCCTCAAGACTGACTCAAACAGTGGCTAAGACTCAGAAAAGACTCTCATTTCACTCCCACAAGGCTACTCCCAAGTGTTTACAAGGTGGAAATGTGAAGAAACTCAAGAAAGATCACAACTTGGCTCAAGAAATGGAAGGGAAAGCCTATGGAACAGTAACCAGCAAATGGTCAGCCCCAACTCACGTATAGAAATCTGATCCTAGGGTTTTGTGCCCATAATGAGAGTATTTATAGCCCAAACACACTTAAACACACAGTATTAATAATTGCTACGCTTAGCATTTTAATCCCAAACTTTGGATTATGAAACTACATAATTTTCTAAGAATTAACATATTTTTCTTATATTTTTCTGAGCAACTTTCCGGTACACGCTTTTCAAAGCCAATACCGGTTTCTAGCACCAATTCTCATTATTTGGACTTGAAACTCATTTTACAAGTCCTAAATATTATTCTAGTAATTATCATGCACTTACTTTAATTTTCCGGGATACTTTTTCGGCACGCATTTATACCGACTAGCAGAATCGGTATCTGCACTTTTCTTCCGAAAAGCGACTTTCAGCATTCTTAAGCACTTATTATGATTATTAAGCCTCATAAATAATTACTAGGGTCAATTTATGGAATCATTTCCTATTTTTGCATAATTAATTAATTAAATACCTTAATTAACGGTGCGAGTTCTTACACAATTCCTCAATATCCTATGCAAACTTGTATTATTCCTAGTGGTACGTGTGATCGTATTGAGAGTGTAACTAGGAATTTCATTTGGGGATCAACTTCTGAACGAAGGAAAGCTCACCTGGTTTCTTGGGAGACGGTTTGTTTGCCGAAGAATGTAGGGGTGCTTGGTTTTCGTAAAATTAAAGAGAATAATATGGCTTTTATCATGAAGCTAGGTCACCGTATCATGACTGATTATAATTCGTTATCGGTTCGGATCCTTCGTAGCAAGTATAAGGTGGAGGAGAGGCCCATTCCAAGTATCTCGGCTTTAGCAAATGATTCTGGTTTATGGAAGGCCATTGTTAAGTATTGGCCTCAAACTCTAGAGAATTCTCGTATCATTTTAGGGGATGGGGTTCATACGTCTTTTTGGATGGATTCGTGGGTGCCAGGATGTCCTCAACTTGTTTCTCTGGCCGTTCAACCTATTCCTCCTATTATAACTCATTGGTCTACGTCTCAATTTGTAACTTGTTATGGTAATTGGGACTGGCCTTTATTCCAGCACCTTCTTCCTACTTCAGTATTAGACAAGATTCGTAGTGTGCTCCCTCCTACAGTGGATCCTTCTTCGGACCGTGTTATTTGGGCAGGTAGCCAAGATGGGATTTTTCGGTGAAATCAGCTTATAACTATCTCATGGGTACCTCGCATTATCATCAGGATAGGATTTGGAAGGTAATTTGGGCTTGGCCTGGTCCTGAACGTATTAGACAATTCTTATGGCTTCTCTACAAAGGTTCTCTTTTAACTAATGTTCGTAGAGTGCATCGTCACATGGCTACAGATGCAGCGTGTCTGAGATGTCATTATAATCTTGAGGATAGTTTACATGCCATTAGAGATTGTCCTGGTGCCAGGGAATTATGGGAGCATTGGGTTCCTTCTGATAACCATAGTGACTTTTTCTCCGTGGATCTTCACCTATGGATTCAGACAAATCTAGGATTAAAAGGTCTGTTTCAAACTGATCGAACTTGGCCTTTGTATTTTGGGGTGATAGCTTGGTGTTTGTGGGGGGAAAGAAATAAAGCGGTCTTTGATCAAACTAGCACCTCGACGTATGGTCTCATTAGGCGTATTACCTACACTTGTGGTAATATTCAATTGGCTAATGAAACCCTTATTAAGATTGGTAATTTGGAGCTTAGAAGAGAGGAACGTCTTATTCACTGGAATTTTCCCTTTGAGGGTTATGTTAAACTTAATGTGGATGGTTCCAGCATAGACAGTGGGTAAGGACTGCATGTGGTGGAGTCATAAGGGATGCTGCTGGGAACTGGTTAACTGGTTTTACAAAATTCCTTGGGAGTGGTACTTCTACTTCAGCGAAAATTTAGGAGTTCTTGACAGGTATGGATCTAGCTTGGCATAAGGGATTTAGGAGAGTCTTTGTGGAGGGTGACTCCAAGGTGGCTTTGGAATTTATAAGAAAAGGGTGTGACGTAAGTCATCCTCTTTCTGCTTTAATCATCCGAGCTCATAGCATGCTTCAAAGAGACTAGATTATTCAGCTTAGTCATACTTATAGAGAAGGCAATTTTGTTGCTGATTGGCTTGCTACTCATGCACCTCATCAGGATGGACAACTGATTATGCTGGATGTCCCTCCAACGACTTGTTTGGAATTGTTTCGTAATGACTTGAGGGGAGTTAGTCTCCCAAGATTGTGCCCAGTATAGGGCTTTTTTTTATGTTGCTTTAGTTTTCATTGTATTTCCAAAAAAAAAAATAAAATTCCATTCTCACTCACCACTAATATTTTTGGGTTACATTTATCCTTTACATGCTTCAATTTTGCCCTTAAGAGTCCATTTGTTGGATAGGATGTGATATGGGTGAATAAGACAAATGGGTTGGGTAAAAATAGGAAATGATTGACCCTAATAAGCTCATATCCCTATTTTGTATTTGATATGCACCAGATAAATAGTCAGATAGGATAATGTTATTATATACGGGTATTTGAGGCAATTGTACAGTGTCATAATATGATAAAAATAGAAGAAAAAAATATGATTTTTTTAAAGTTGACTTTTAAACTATTTTTTGTACTTATTTACATATTGATTCTAATTTTAAATTATTAAAAATCAAAAATTTAAATAAGAAATATTGAAATACATAAATAATTTATAAAATTTGCAAAATAAAAAATATATATTCTCACCAAATAAATTTTTAAATATTAAGTTTTTAATTGATCGCCTATATTTGTTGTCGATGACTAACAGTACTGATGAGTGATGGTGGCGATGGTAGTGGCAGTGCAACAATGACAAGTATGAGAGGTCAATGGTGGTTATAACTGTTGTGGAGCTGGTGGCTAGGAGTGATAGTGTTGGTGCCAACAATGATTGATGATAATTGTGGTGGACGGTGGCGGCGCCGACTATGATTAATGGAAATTATATATGGCTGATCAATGGCAATAAAGGTGGCTAATGATGGCAATGGTGGTCGGTGTCTAGTGGTAGCCGGTGACAATGGTGATGGCTAATGATGGTAGTGGATAATAGAGGTGGCCAATAATCGACAGCGGCAACCCGTGGCAAGGGTTGACCTTTACATGCTCAATAAAATTTGTAGAAAAAATGCATAGGGTTACATTTGAGATGATAGGGATGAGACATTTATCAGCCATCTTATCTATTTTTAACCTGAGTTTCCCTTAACAAATGTTATCACACAAAATAAAATGAGTTAACATGATAAATTTACCACGTGAGTAGGATATGAAAACATATCCTATTTTGTCTTCTTTATTCTCATCGACAAACGACAAACGGACCCTAAAAGTAAAACTTTTGCTTATGCTGACCACCACTCGCTTCACTGGGACACAAACTTTATTTCATCTACCACATCCTATTGTGAAGTTCTTTTCAGATGCTTCTTTCTTCCTCAAAAATCATATCAACCATGAAATGAAATGCTTCTACGGGACCAGTACAGCAATTACAAATTACATAGATCAAAGGGTGTGCAAGGTTATGCTCATGGAGGACCAAATTGAGAAGAACCGAAGTTAAAGAAAAATGTACATCAATTAGTTTTTAAGTGTGTACTAATCAAAGACAAAGCACCCCCAAGATTTTTGGCCTTAATGCTTATATACTCCTTCACAGTCAAAGCACGAAAGCGAGGCACAGAGTTGAGAACCAAAGGAGAAACTACATAATCCACTGGGGGACCATAGAAATAAGCCACCGAGTATCTCTGCTTTGTGTTGTTCACGGTTACACGGTGTAACGCACAGCGAAACCTTGAGTTTGAAATGATATGCATAATGTCACCAGTGTTAACAACGAGGGCGTTAGGGTCAGGGTGCACAGGGACCCACCCTACACCTTCCTTGAAGATTTGGAGGCCACTGGTTTGGCTTTGGTGGAGTATTGTGAGAAGGGACGTGTCTGTGTGTGGTGCTAGACCCATGGCTCGGTTTGGCTCTGGACAACAAGGGTAGAAATTCAGCTGAACAGCCCCACAGTGGTTGGTTGAACCAATCCACTTCTTTTCTTCATCTGAAATGCCCAATAAGTTGAATATCATGTGTGTTAGTTTCTCTGCTAGCATCTTCAATTGCTTCTGGTAGTTCTCCATTATATCACTGCACAAACACAATTTTGTTAGTTTTTAGAATTTAAGATTTTGTAGGTAGCGGTGGTAAGATTGTTCCTGCAAGGAATATCACATGTTCGATTATGAAAAATAGACTATTTACATAAATAATAGGGACATAAATGAGAAAGCAAGACTAGAGTACTAGTAAAACGGTTCATATGTAAATGAAAAGATTAATAGTTCAAATCCAGAAAATAATATATTCGCAAATATATAAAGATAAGACTGTGTGCAAAAATTGTCCTCACTTCAAACATATTTGCAAATATATAAAAATAAGGTTGTGTACAAGAATTGTTCTTACTCCACTTTCTCTAGTAGAAGTTTAATGGAGAGTGATATTTTTTATTATTAGGATAGAGCCGGTGCAAACAACCCTCGTACCCTTTGGATGAGCCTTTTGTTTGAAATTTGCCCTTTTTATATAGAAATTAAGGTTTTTTTTATTATTAAAATAATAAAAAAAGGCATGTGATCTAGCTGAGTTTCGTTATGAGTTTGTCTTTACTCTTTTGGGTAGGTGAGATGTTGTAAGACCTCAGACTGAAGCATCATGAATATAATATTCAGAGGATATTTTTACTTACAGATTTGAAGCTAATCTAAATCTCTAACCTTAGCTTTTACAAATTATTTTATCATGTCCATGTGATGGTTGAAAAAAAAATTAATCATATATAGCTAATGAGGACAAAACAAAAATATTTTTAATCTTGGAGAGAGAGAACTGAATACTAAAGCACTTTGTTTAATATATGCGTTGTTAAATGAAGTGTTAAAATTCAAACTAATATAGGACTCTCTTCCAAGTAGAAACTCGAACCAACCATATATTGTAATAATGGCTTCCATTCCGAGAAAAACTTTAAATGTTATCAAAGCAAGTCTCTACTAATTAACATATGATAGTCCACGTTGCATGGAAATTGCATGAGATTGGAGCATTTGTACTTACCAAAATCGTTCATAGTCATTAGGCCAGATCTTTTTAGCATCATCAGATGGAGAACCCATGATGGTAAATCCTTCATGCCACATGTACTTGGTAAAAAATGGTGATATCCGAGCTCTGCCGTATCCGGTGGCACCGCCGGCTGATCTCAGGCCTTTCAATTTCTGCTCGGCGGGGAGGGCAAAGAGCTTCTTTGCCTCCACTTGAACCTCTTCAATAACACTCAAGGGTATGCCATGGTTCTTCAATTGGAAGGCACCCCACTTTTCACATGCAAGGCCTATGAGTTCCATGGCATTAGGATCCATGAGGTCTATGATGGGTATGAATGATTCAACTCCATCATAGCATCCATTGAATGAGAAATGATGATGATCATCATCAGATTGAGGCCATGCATGAGAATCAGGTAAGGTCCTAAGTGAAGAAAAGTCCAAGGGGATAATATGATGGAGGTTAAGAGGGAGGTCTCTATAGGCTTCAGAGAGAGTAGTGGCCATTTCAAGATGAAATTGCAAGCTAACAAAGATAGAGAGTTGGATGTGGCTGATTGATTAGAACTTAAGTATATAAATATTATAAGAATATGAATTAGACGAGATTAGGTTAAAATGATACAGTTGGGTGAAGGTTGGCTATTGGACTGAGTTGTGTCGGATTTTGTTTTTGGAGGAATATGGTTGAATAAGACAAAAGATGGAACAAACAATTTTGAAAGATTGTGGCATCTCAACGTCTTAAATATTGAAAAATAAAAGAAACGATTTGTTTATTCCATGATAATGTTTCATAATTCAGCAAAGGGGAAGAAAAAAAAAAAAAAAAACAGAAAAAATTGATAGAGGATCCCTTTTTGTTTCCCTTTTAGCTTTTGTGGACAAAAATAGGGCACGCTTTGTCTTTTAGTATCCAAACCTAATGAACGAGAATTGGCTTGATCTACAGAGAGGTCAGAGAATTTACAGGTGTTCGATGCTTGAAAAAGTTGAAAGTTGATTCTTGCATAAATGTGTAAAATTTGAGACATGGAAAAAGAAATTTTGGGTAAATTTAATTATGATAAAATAGCTAGTTATAATTTATTTATTTTTTTGCTAAAAATAATTTTTTTTTTTGGTATAAATGATAGATTAATTATAAACTTGTGAATGATAAACGGAAACTACATGGTGGAGCTGTGTTAAGAACTTGGTAGGAAGAGCTTTATCGTCTTTATAATTTTACCTTGACTCGATCAGATTTGTCGATTAATCCGTGGAGAAATCTAAAAAAAAAAATTACAGTAATACTAAAGTTTTGTAAGGATCTGTCTCATTAAGTTGATCTATATGGCAAGGAAAAGTCAGTGAGATCTCATTGATTGAGTAAATCTTGCAAATTTTGTAAGTGCCCCATCTTGATATTTATATATATTATTGAAGGCTGCCACCAGCTGAGCACACGGAGAACTTTTGTGCTATTAAGCCTTTGCCTCAGAAAAAGGATGATTCATTGATTCCCATTTGCATGACAAGGGCTTAAAAGTTTAGAGGTGGGAATGCTTTTGGAGTTATATTAGAACTTTATGGTGTACATATAATTAGACATTTCCATTTGTTTTGTCTGTGTGTGCGTGTGCAGGAGTTCCAGATTAACAAGATTACTGAAGCTTTTTTTGGCAGGTCTCAAAGGTGGAAAAGGAAATTATTTGAATGATGAGTAACATGGCGGAAAATACAAGAGTGAAGTCAAGCAGAACATGATGAGGACAAAAAAATTCAAACTCATATTCAAAGGTGAATCTCATGGAAAAAAAATTGTGAGCTATCTTTCAAACATGACCTTTCTACCTCTTTCCTAACATTTGTAGAAATTAATATAGAGGGGATTATAACAGTTGTTCCATTTTATAGTAGATATTGACTCAGACTTGTAGGAGGAGGAAAAGTTGTTATTAGACACTTAACTTAGACTTTTTTTTTTTTTTTTTTTTTTTTAATAACTTAACTTAGACTTTAGGAGGTGTTCTATAATTACATATCTGAATATTTTTCAAGATGTACAACTATATTTAGTTTTGGAAAGCCGTTTCAATTAACGTCATCTTATTTATTAAATTTCATTAATTAATTAAGAGGTACAATGTTTTATGGGCAATACTTTTCTCTTGCATGAGAAATATCTCTCATAGCACACAGTCATTGGAATTTAAGCCTTCATTTTCTTTTCATTTTTTTAAGTGTGGGATCTATTAAGATTTTGTCTATGATAAGAAATTACTATCTCCTATGCATGAGAGTCTATTATCCCATGTTTTATTTATTTGAGTAATTCCAAAATGTATTAATATTTAAAAATAATTTTTCACATTCGACCTTTTTCATACATTGTAGGCCTTGATATGTCCATACTCCAACCTAAAAATCGAGTTTGACTTGAACGTATATTGCTTGTTTGATTTAGGCTGTATATAAAAAATAAAATTGATTGTATATAAATTTGAATGGGAAAGGTATTTTTCAGTCACCGGAGATAAAGTTATCTTCAATAAACTCAAAACAACATCGTTTTGGGTTATAAGATTAAAAAATTATAATAATAAAGACCAATATAACCCTCTAATATATTAGAATTACAAAAATATCTTGATTTTCGCTTCAAAACAACATCGTTTTGAGCTCACCGGAGATAACTTATCTCCGTTGACTGGAAAAATTCTTTATCCAATTTGTAATTATAAAATACTTATAAAAATAATAAGTCTTATATCAAATCTTAACTGTTGATTTTCGTGTATCTAATTATTGTAATTTATTGAAAATTAATAATTAATTAATAAGTATGATCCAATAAATTGTAACAATTAGATGTACGAAAATCAACGGTTAAGATTTGATATAAGACTTATTATTTTTATATCGATATAAATTAATAATCTCTCTCTCTCTCTCTCTCTCTCTCTCTCTCTCTCTCTCTCTCTCTCTCTCTCTCTCTCTCTCTCTCTCTCTCAGACACAAACACACATATATATAGAGTTATTTCTTATATCGATGTAAGTTAGTTATTGATTTGCTTACATCTAATAACTCACATATCTTATAATTCAAAGTCATTAGATATAAATAGTGTCAATGACCAAAATTGAGAGTACCAATATAAAATGATCATATATATATATATATATATATATATATATATATATATATATATATATGGTAAAATTATTTCTGCAGCCGCTTTACGTACGACAACGACAGGTGTATGATTATGATTCCCCACATTTAATATTTTTATCTTTTGTATGGATTTGATTCCCCACATTTAATGCTTTCAAGTATATATATGATAAGTATTGATTGTTGCACGTACAACAGCTGCAAAAATGTAAACTCCATAATATATATATATATATATAAGGAAAAACATTTCTCCGCAATTTGAGATAAGTTTATCTCCGGTCACCCCAAAATGACGTCGTTTTATTTAATTATTTTCTTATATTAATTGATTCACCTTTGAATGGTTATAATTCTCTTTTTCTCTTTCTTCCTTTATTACCATTGATTCATCTTTATATGGTTATGATTTAGTAGCCGGAAATAAAGTTATCTCTGACAGTTTGAGAAATGATGAGCTCATATATATATATATATATATATATATATATATAATCATGAATAAGCTAAATTAATTTTAAATAAAATTAATCTAAACTATCCATGTATTATATATATCGTAATGGGACTTTTCTCCTAGATTCCCGTGTTTGAATGTCGTGGTCTACGAAAAAAAAGTAGGACTGTACTCTAAAACTTTAGAGCGTTGAGACTTTCAGCCATTGATGTTGTAGGTCTTTCTTTTATGCCAAGTGATTAACATTAATTTAAAAAAAAAAAAAAATGAGATAAGAACTTGACAGACATGCACTAATGCGTTAAATAGAATTATCCTGAAAAGCATTAGTACTTTTTTTTTTTTTTGGGTACAAAAAAGCATTAGTACTGACTTGGTAAAATTATTGTTTGCAAAATTAATATAGCAATTAAAGTACTAAGCCCACTATGTAGAATCAATTATGAAGCGGACCTCAACGTGAAAAGTGGTAATGTTAGAGCCAAACTTGGATTTTACGATTGGTAGAGCCAAACAAGACGATTGCGCCCACTCAAACGGATCTAGTTGACCAAAATCCAACCCAAAAACAGTCTTTACCCAACATCCTAGCACTGGAATTATTTGTACAACATCTAGAAAATTGAGTGAATAAGTCATTAGTATTAATCTAGTGGTGTTGAGAAATTTAGGTAAGTTGTATTATTTTCTTTAATTATAAATTTTGAGTTCGAACTCTCAAAATGAAGTTTCAAATAATGGTCCATATATAAATTTGATAACGTTTGAATCGGATTAATTGAGATTTTAATGAATTTTATTGAAAAAAAATATTTAAGGATATTTAAAAAAAATGACATCATATGTTATTTAGCATTAAATTGTAATTCTTATAAAAAAAATAAGTGGGATTAACTATGAAATTTGTTAAGTTGGAAATGGATCATCTGATGTATTAATTAATGAAATAGGATATTGTTACTACAAATTAGTATTATTACTAATGTTACTACTAATTTGTTTCACCGTTAGATTGTGGATCCAACAGTTCTTATTTAAGTTTTTATAAATCTTCTTTCTTCTCTTCATATTTAATACGTTATATTTATTTTCACCTTTGTATAGTTATAATTTTTCATATTTAATGCTTTCAAATTAAATATGGAGAATCATAACTATACAAAGTTGGAAATAAATATAACCGTTGGATCAACATAATCGATCTAACGGTGAAATAAATTAATAATGATATTTGTAGTAATACTAATTGATAGTAATAATATTTTATCTCTTAATTAACACGACCATGATGTCATATGTACAAAGATAAATTAATGGTGTAATTTTATAATTACCTATCTCAATATTATTATTATTTTCCTTTATAACCATTGGTTTACTTATGATTATGATTCCTGCTAATAATACGATCATGTGCAGTCTAGTTGTCGATGTAGTCGGTAGTTCCTCTGAGTTATAAATTAATAATGAAATAAAAGTAATTTCATAATGTGTAGAGTGCACTGTAGACACTTGTTGATGTTGTCGGTAGTTCCTCTGAGTTATAAATTAATAATTAAATAAAAGTAATTCCATAATGTGTAGAGTGTAGACAGAATATTTGTAGAGGCATGACGATGTTAAAACTTAGAGAAGGACTAGTCAAATTGGACCATTATGTGGAGACAGAAATTGATGTTCATTGCAAAGGCATCACCTACATAAATAAATGTTAACAATAGCGGCAAGCAAGTCGGTGCCGACTCTGTCTCTGTCGTCAACACTTGGAATAAAACATACACGGTATGACTTATTTCGCCCATTGATCCTAACAAGGTTCATACTCAATTTTTTTTTTCATTCATCTACTTATATTTAAATCACATAATTAGAAATATTGAAAATCGTT